GTTTGTAGTAGCTGTTCGTAATAACTGTTATTGTAAATTGTATTATTGTTTGTATATTAAAATATATTTGTATAAAACAAAGAAAACTGTGTGTATCAATCTTGTTAGCAAGTGTCATAAATTGGATATATATCGGCATTTATTTAACTACTCAGTCTAAATTACAATTTAACTTAGATTTAGGCTATTTCAAATTGTAATACCTAACAATTTAAAAAACAGTAATTTTTTTCCGTGAGTTAAACAGTTTCCTTCTTGTGGACTAAACCACAAGTCATTTTTCAACAATTTTGTAATAATGTTTCCGAGAAGAGTTGATAAAAGTATCCAATAAAAATACAATTGATAATAATGAATTTTAATTATGAGTGACAGATAAACCACAGAAAGCTTCTATGACCTTAAGTCATCAGTTGGGTACCCTCACTGCTTGTGTTTTGTTGTTGTTGTTGTTTGCAGTTTTTAAATTTAGAGATTCTGACGACGTTAGGCCTGCTTAGCGATGTTACCTAGTTCTGAAATTGAATTGTCACATGTAAAGTTTCACTTACCACGCCTATTACATTTTGCCAATGTGGTTATTACTATTTAAGGAATTTACTGCTATATATTAAATCTATATAATACTATAAATAACTAAACTGAATTCATCAAATCTGGTTCAATAAATTACATATACGCTTACGGCTTATTTAGTATGCGGCAAGTTCCAGCTGGATGTCCACAAAACAAAAGCACAGCCTGTGCATGTGTATGACTTCTCGGAAAAGTTCTGCTTGTTTTATTTCACTAAACAACAATACGTGGCTGGAATTTCAATATGAGATCCTCCGAGGTGAAACCTCAGGGGATTACAGGGGGGGGGGGTGCTCAGAAGGTTTAGCTTCTCTTTACTCCTCTCGTGATTGTGGTGTGGGCTGTAGTTAAAGTTTTGTAATTTAAGTTTACTTAATGATTGTGTTGGGAGGGCAGATTTAAAGATGCCTCAAGTAGTCAGAAGGAGTCCAGAGTCAAGAATAAGGGAGATCCAGATTTCACAAACTAGCGCGATGACCGTGCTATATATAGTGAGACTGGCCAAATGACCAGATTGAGAGAAGAAACCAAAGATCGCATTTATGAAAATAAAAGGATTATAGTATATAATTTGAGTAAAGTTGGAGATTACAAATATAGACTTGTCCGTAAGGTGTGTTAAAGCTTAGACTTGTTTTGTAGTATGTAAGGTTAAGATAAAGAAAGATAGTTAGTTATATCCTATAGTGACTATGTTAATTATGTGATCCTTACTGAGTCAACGATCACGTGTTATAAAATGCGTTAGTCACTGTACTACACTGTTTTACAAAGTACTAATTAGCCTTGGCTTGATTTACTCCCCGTTTATCCAACTTCATTGACAACAGCAGTAGATAAAAATAATAAAGAAAAAATTAAAATTAAGTAATAACAAAAACGTCCAATAATTCTTAATTTTATAAATTAATTATCGTTTATTCACATTGCTTAAATTCTACAGATATACGGTACAGTTTTCTTAATTATAGCAGGTTTAGCAGAATTAACTTGTTGACATATTTATGGTATACCCAATTCAGAAAATAGTCACAAATCTAATAACATATCTATGGTGTCATATTTAACACAATACATTAATACATAATGTCAACCAACGTTCAATTTATGCTTGAAATTTAATATTTCATTGTTTACGTCATCTGTCTACAATGTGACGTGTACCTCATTTCTGAAACATTTTGAATAGTTAATTTCCAGTTGTATTTGTTTTTCTTAGCTGAATTTAGCAAACCGTATGATAGTTTTAGCTTTGATTATTTCCATGATGTGGTTCGCACCTTTGTTTTCTATTGGAAAAGCACGCACACACAAACCCACACAATTTTTTTTTCAAAAAAGGTGACAGTAGTGCATAATAAAACTGTCAAAAGTTTAGTCATGTATAATATATCATACACCGTGACAGGGTTTAAAATAACCCACTAAATATACTACTAACAAGCTAAAAATATGAGTGACATATTCTGAGAGCCTCAGTGTGATACCCAGCTTATAGTTAACAGAAACCCAACTTGTGAGGTGTTCTAACTCACACTTTTATACCCCTGGAATATCTTATCAATGTGTTTTTTTTTTTTTTTTAGTAGCAGAATAGTGCAAAGGAGTTAATAAATGATTGTTTTAACTCAAAGCTACGCAATGGGCTACCTACTTTGTTTCTGCCGTGAAAATCGAACTTGGAATTTAGTGCAAATATAATTTCACACTTGAAATATTTACACTAATTACACTTTGAAAATGCGAGTGCAACAAACTCTCACTTCTATTTGCAGGTAAATTGGAAGTCCTATGCGTGTAATCACTCTAGTAGTGCATAATTTTGTGCAAGAGTGAGCTCGATAAGTTTATTTGCTATATCCTCCTTACTTATGCTGACTTAATCAAGCAAAGAACTGTCGTAGGTTCAGAGGCAACTGAGTGGAATTCTGTGGTAGTGGGGTCCTGGGAGGAGGATTACCTCTTACCAACCTTTGGACACAAAACATTTTGACGTTTATATAACAGCTATTTCCAAAAGCTCCAACTGACGTTTGGTTTATTACTATTTTTTCTGGTATAAATTATTTATGGGAAACGTGAATAATATTTATGCGATTATTTAAAAGCTCTGGTAGATTAATTAGCTGTTTTAACCCTCAAAATCCCGATTTGTTTGATACCGATGATCTTCATGAGTGTACATATTGTATCGATTTTTGTCTGTTACAGCAC